AACGCAGTTGAGCGAGGTGGCTGGAACCAGTTCATGGGGCCCCTGGACTTTGGCCTCTCTGAAGTGATAAGCCCTTGAGAGTTAACAGGAGCAGGTGTGTCTGGGACTAAGTGTGTGGAGACAGCATTAGCACCATCTGGCTCTGGGCCTAGGAGGGAGAGGGCGGAGACAAAGGGATCGGGACAGCTTCTGAGAGGACAGCCCTGAGCTCTCCCCAGCCCTTTGCCTTCCTGATGCCTCTTACATTAGATATTATTTCCTCCAGGATCCCCCACTTCCCTGCCGTGTCCCCACCCCAGTCCCTCCCAAGCTCCCTGTTTCCCGTCCAGGACTGTGAAAAATAACATTTCTGTGGTTTTAAGCCACCAGGTTAGATACTCGACACCAGCACAGGAAGCGAGGAAGGAATCAGAGATTGTTGGAAGTCTGGAGCCAGAGCAACTGGAGGTGGGCTGTGCTCTTAACCTACATGGGGACGCAGGAGGAGGGGCTGCTGTGCTAGGCTTTAGACCCCGTGTTAAATCCGGAGTGCCACTGGGACACCCCCGGCCGTGTGTGCCTGGGGAACGGGAGCTGCCGTGTGTCCGTGAAGCCTGGCAGGGTTGCCGTGGGCCTTTGGTGCACGTCTAAACTCACTGACCCAAGAAGAAAGAGACACAAGTGGCCCCATTTGCACCTTCCCAGGCCTGTCTCAGGCTTCACGCCCAGTGATCTGTTTGAGGATTTTGTTAGACAGGAAAGAATTGTTTTTTCTTCAAGAAACGCGTTTGGCTGCTGTGGTTGGTGTCCGTGCATCCTCGTAGGAGGAGCATTAGGGGAGTCCTTGAACAGAGACTTGAGTCGGAACTGATCAGTGGCATTTGGGGGTTGGAAAATTGCTCAGGAGTCAGCTAATTCATAATGTCACAGAGGCTAGACGAGAAGACCCGAGAGGATGGGCTGTCTCTTGGCTTTCTATTTTTTCTTTTTGAACAAGGAAAACAGAAGGTGCCACGCTTGGCCGTTCAGCACTCAGAGATGCCCTCTGCCCAGGAGAGACCATTGGGACCCTGGGGCCGTGTCATCTCCAGTGCCCCCTTTCTTCCCAAAGACCTTGCAGCCACCGTGGCGTGGCAGCACATGACGCTGCTCCGTGTCCTCTGTCCTTTCCCAGCCCAGATGCTGGTCCCTGCAGCAGCCGCGTCTGGCTCTAATTTGCAGAGGACACCTGTTCCGTAATTAGCCCCAACTTGTGCTGTGTATCTCAGCCTGGGTGCCCTCTGATGTGTGAGCCCGCGGCCCCATGCGAGGGCTGCTGTGTGGCAGTCGGTGCGTGTTTCCTGGACTAAGTGGTCCTGCGCCCTCCCAAGTGATGCGGTCAGTCTGTGGTCCTGAGCATTAAAAGCAAAAGAAACCACATCCCAGCTGCCGTCCAGCCGTGGATGTCACAGCTGTTGACCGGATGAATCTTCCAAAAGAGCCCTTCACTGCCTCTTCCCACTCTGAGGACAGACCTGCTGTCCCTAGAATTGGACATGAGAGTGCCAGGCAGGGGTGGACCCTTGTCTGAGCACCTCTTGACTCTCAGCCCCATCAGTCAGCTGGCACGGCGCGTGCACGTCTTACTCTGCCCTCTTGAGATGTGCCCACGTGCCTGGGCTTTTTAAATAGAGGGGCGCTAGCAGGCTGGGAGCCCATCCGACAGGGTTTTATAAAATGGGCCTCCTGGGTAACAGCATCTTGGTAAACATCTGCCGGGAGGAGGATGCGGATGGATTTGGCTTCCGAGAAAGGACTCCTGGAGGAGCGGACCTGTGCAGCCTGCAGAAGCAGACGTTCCTGCCTGCCTTTGGGGCCGACCCTGCTCTCCCCCTGTTTGTACATAGTGGGACTTTCTAAACACCGGCCTTTAGGCT